TGAAAAATAAAATTAAGCACCTGTCAGGAGAAAAATGGAGAAACTAGTTATGCCATTTCTGCAGCCTCCCTTTTCCTCTACCACTGATAAGTGATCACTTTGAACTGCTTCAGTTCAAAACAAGTGCGGGAACGTTTTGGCAGCTGGATCTGGGAGCAGAGAAGGACGCTTCCACTGCCGTCCCGTGTCCCTGCCAATTTTTTCTTTGTAAATCCATCTTCCACATGGCCCCTGAATGGAGTTTCCAGCATGAAAATATGATCGTGCCACCCCTCAGCTGGAAGTATGAAACTGAAGCCCTTTACTGCTCATCTCCTTCTCCCTCTCTGTCCCCTACCACTCAGCTTTCGCTCAAGAAACCCTGATCTGCTGGTGGTCTGCTCCCCAGCCTCTCACGACCTCCTCTTTGACTTTGTTCTAGCTCCCACTTCTTACTAGTTCTGTCTATATCTCTTCACTCTGGAGCACCATACCAGGAAGCTGCCACGACACACAGCTGATCCCCACTGTAGGATGCCCCTATACATTCCCATCATAATTGGCTTCTGTTTCGCTCTAGCACAGGGTTTAAAATTGTTCATTCATATATCTGTCCTGAAATTGGGTCTCTTAGGGCAAGGATTATCCTTCACTCATCTTTGTATGCTCAACATAACACAGAGACTGGCATGTTGTGAGATCAAAAGACCTGTTTTGAGTCTGAAGCAAAACTGAGTGACTTCTTCCTTATACATCCAAGGTAGTATGGTAGGTATTATTAAGTAATACGACTTAACTTTTTTTCAGCCAGCAAATGTGCTAGTACTTTACATGCACTCTCTTATTTACATCTGAAATTGTAAGAGTAAACAGATTCTGTTGTGACCCCTCCTCCCCCATTGGGGAATAATTTCAAGCAGGTGAGTAACGCACCTAATGTTAGGCCCCACAACAAGGCAGAGCTGGGTTTCCACTCAGCTATGATGAAAAGGGATAAAAGTGAAAAGAAAAAGAACAAAGAAAAAGTTCTAAGAGATCGTAGTACCCTGATGACATAATGACTGAGAAATGACACTTTTTAAAGTTTAATCTGAATTGTGGTGTTTTCCCAGTGAGCTGGAACTCAGATCTCTGGCCAGACTGTATAAAGCTTTGGCCATTGGGAAGCTCTAGTGGAAAATGTGGATGTTTGTTCCTTACCCAGGGCCCACTGCAATTGATGACTTGAAATCCTCAGCTAGAACTTCAAAATTTCTGGAAATATTTGTAGCTTAACAAGAAAAACTTCTTGAAAATGTTATGCATATTTTCAGTCTCCAGTGTTCCTCCTGCCATTCCTTCTCCCACCCCATCGCCCTCTACCCTGCAGGGCTTTACCACCACCCTTCACTGAAACGGCTCTTTCAAGGTCACTGATGATGTAAGACCCTTAAACAAATGCCATTAAACAGTCTTTCTTCATCTTGACTTCTTAACTGCACTGGACATAGTTTAGCAATCTCTGCCTTTAGACATATTCTCTTGCTTCAAGGAAATGACACTGACCTACACTTACTGTTTTCTCTTTCTTTTGCTGAGTCCTTCTCCACTTGAGAGCCCTCTAAATTTGTAGGACGCATCAGTCTTTCTCTATACTTATTTCCTATGTAATTTCTTCTAGACTCAAGGTCTTAAATGCCACTTGCCCACTAAGGACTCCCTAATTTTTATATTTAGCCTTGTCTTCTCCTCTGACCTCTGACCTGCATATCCAATTGTCTATTCCATTTTGATTCTGAAAGGTATCACATGTCCAAAACTATGATCTTAATATTTACCAGAACTGCCACAAACCCAGTGAGACCCCTCTGCAGCCTGCCCCATCACAGTCCATGGTGACTCCACGCTTCTGGTGTTGGGCCGGTAGTATCCTTGAGCTCTCTGTCTCTTACTATCAGTTAGTTCATGAGAAAAGGCAGTCAGCTCTACTATACACACACACACATCCAGAATTACACTTCTTTTCATAACTTCCAATGCTACTATCCTGGCCCAATCCATGATCATATCTCCCTTAGGGTGATAATCTCCCACTGGTTTTCCTGCATCCCCTACAGCATATTCTCCACACAGCAGCACAATGACCCTGTTACCAACTAAATCAGCCTGTGTCCCTCCTCTGCTCAGATCCTCAGTGGCTCCCAAAGCTTTAGCACAGCCAGCATCCTCAGGGCTTCATCAAGACTTTCAAGGCCTTCCCTGATCTGGCCTTCCACCCCCATGTCACTTGTTGTTTCTCAGACAGCAAGTCATTTCTTTGCCCATCTTCTCTGGCATCCACCCCCACTGGTCTCCCTGATATTCTGTAAACATAACAGACACACCCCACTTACCAGCTTTTGAACTTGCTGTTCCTTCTGTTTGGAGTGCCCTTCCCTTAGGTATTAATACGGCCTGTGCCCTGACTTCCTTCAAGACCGACTCAGAACTCACCTTCTAATTAGAGCGTTCCCTGGCCACACCAAAAATATATCTTGATTTTCTATCTTCTCCATTTGAAATGAGGCCATGGATTTGGGTTGATATTGATCACTGTTGAATCCCCGGGGTCTGACTCAGGGCCAGTACATAAGAGATGCTTAACAGATAATTACTGAATGACTTCATTCATTCAATGTGGAAGTCACTACCTATCCTGTATTCACACGTCCTAGTTAGCAGTAGCAAATCTCTAAAATTACAACCCTGAAAATCCAAAAGCTATTTTTCAGCCTTGACTTTAACTGCGCTTTCAATTAGCAAACCAGGTGGCTCCAAACTTTACAGTGCCTGGAATGGTATCAAGCGCACAGATTCAGCTATGGAGTCCAAAAGCTGCAATATTCCCGATTGCTTGCAAATGTTAGAATCTGTCCCTACACCTTTCGTGGGCTATAGTTTGCTAATTTCTAAATGGGGCATGTGATCATATGCAACCCAAGTATTTATGTGAGTTACAGAATAATTTTAAACTCAAAAACTACCAGCAGCAATTTGCATGAATCAAAATCTTTAAATGAATATTTAAGAGCATGCATTTTAAACAGTAATTCAAATACTAAGAATGCTCATTGTAGCTCTAAAGTTAAGAATTTTCTATGGCACATGGATTTTTTTTTTCAGCAGGTAGCAAAAATGAAATACAGTCAGAGGTTTTGAGGAACAGATGGAAATGAGGGGCACATGAGATGTGCTGATCAAATGAAGCTCTCCTCTTTCTGGACAAATCCTCCCTACTCCTAAACACACATACACACACATAGAAACATCCACTGCAGATATCAGAGGGCAAGCGATTATCACAACACACTTACTTTTAAAACCTCTTCTTAAATTCAATGATATAAGCAGCAGTTACGCTCTCTTTTGGCCCTATTTGCAGCCCCCAACCTCTCTACCAGACCCCCATTCTTACCTTTATTAAAATGAATTAGTGGAACATGTGCAAGTTTAGTGTGTATAATCAATGGGAGAAAGTGCTGGAAGCTAAGACTCCCGGATTCTCTTCCCAGGTTTGTGCAGGAAATTAAATGGCCTTGAGCAAGTCACCTGGACCTATTTCCTCCTCTCTGCGTTATCTGGGAAGGGTGCCATGGGGCTTCAGTCTCCCTCAAGTTCTACCAGTTCCCAGCTTCTGGACATGGTCTAGTAACTTATTTTACAAATTTAGAAAGCAATGTTTCCAAACTTACATAAAGTTTCCATACCTATCTCCTGAATCCCTCTTCCAACCAGACTGCTGCTCCTGAGTCCCTACGTTATAGATATTTCCACACTGGCACTGGGTTAGCATTAATGATCATCTACTTCAAAATCCTACTAGAGCGAGAGAGAAATGAGAGGGGGAGCATATTTTAATTTCAGTAAACATACCTAGTGTAATTTGGGGGTAGCAGAATTCCAGCCGGCATCCTGTTATGCCAGGCCAGTCCACACTGGCAATTACGGTACTGAATTACAAAAGGCCTTGGACACCTGCCTTGTGTACACAAGTTCCTTTTTTTTTTTTTCCTATTTATCTTCACAGTCATCTATTTATGTCAAGAAAGGAAACATATGAGCCCAGCATCTGTTACTAGAGTGACACAATTACCAAATACTTTCATAAGAGGAAAAAAATCGACAATAAATCTGAGTTAGTTGTCAGGTACTTTAGGAGACAAAACATTAGTTTTTCAATCACAGCGTCTTGTTTAAGCTGAACATATGGTGCTACCAGCAGAGAATCACCAGCTTAGCCTGGTCTTTGATAGCCATAAAGACCACAGAAATGTCACCTCATCTGAACTGGCAGAGAAAAGCAGCTTGCTTCTCACAATGCCAGTCCAGCCCAGCCCCTCCATCCCTTTAACAAGCAGGTAACAAATTTAAAGCAGTTTATTGCTGGTTCCTTTTTTTCCCTGTTGAGATCTCTGTAAATCCATGACAGGTATGGGAAATCCTTTACTTTTCCCAGTGACTAAATTTAGACAAGTATAAAAAACATGTGAGCCATAACAAAGTAGTAAAACTCCATGGAAGTTCATCATTGCTTTTTCACTACTATTGAAATCTACGTAATTTGAAGGCTTTGGGAAAATCCCTTCCTTTTTTCCACAACTAAATGTAGACAACTATAGGTGACTATGCATAAATATCGTGATATTCACTTTGCTCTTTTTGTGTATGTAATTAACAGGTCTCTGGTTCTTTATTAAATGAGACTTCATTTTATGCATGGCTTAGTTTTTCGGATGGAGGGGGGAAGAGAGAGAAAACGTTCGAGTTGGAAAGACTGCTTTACTTCCAAAAGGAAGGAACTGGCATAATTTAGTTTAGACCCTGGCACAGCCTAGGGACGCCCTGGCATTCTCTGTCCACTGTGGATGCTGAACCCTGGCCCACAGACACGCCCCGCCTGAGTTCCGCTCCAGCCCAGCCACTAGCCTCCATCCTGCGCGCTCCCCCACCACGCGCCCAGGTGCCCGGGCCGAGCCGCGGAAGGCGGGCAGCGCGCCGTTTACCTGCCAGGCTGCCCGGCCTCTGGAGGGTGGCCGTGGCATACAGCTCCTGCGAGTGCTTGCTGTACTGCTCGGACGCGTGCACCAGGCGCTTGGTGGGCGACAGGGTGGCGTACGTGCCTATGGTGGAGCTCAGCTGGTGGATGGGCGACGAGGAGATGGTGGACTGCACGGTGGGGGGCGAGGTCACGCGGATCGGGGACAGGCCGGCTGAGGACACGACGATGTTGATGGGCGAGCTGGTGCTGTAGGACTTGGCTAGGCGGCTGGGCGACTGCTTGGGCGAGGAGCCGCGCGGCGCGGCGTAGGCGGCGCCCTCGGGGGCCGAGCCGCCGCGCTGCAGCTTGGTGGGCGAGCCGCCCTGCGGCGCGGTCAGCGGGGAGCCCCCGCGCGGCGGCGCGGGCAGCGTGGAGCTCGAGTAGTAGAGCGCGGCGGCGGCGGCGGCGGCGGGCGGCGCGTCGGGCAGGTGGAAGGCGCTGCCCAGGCTGGGCGCGAACGGCTCCCGCGGCGGCGGCGGCGGCGGCGGCGCGGGCTCGGGCCCCGCCAGGTGCGCCGCGCGGCTCGTGGTGCCCTGTACGCGGGAGAGCAGAGAACACGCGCGCTTAGCCAGCGGCCGGCAGAGGCCCCTCCCGCGCAGCCCGGGCGGCCGCGCCCCTCCGCTCCGCGGCCGCGGGGCTCCGCTCCGGCCGCCGAGGGGCCGCGCTCGGCTTACAGCTCTAAGATGTTTCTGGAGGTACAGAGGCAGCGCGCCCGCCACGGGAGGCCTTTGAGAGGCCTCCCGACAGGGCCATCACGATGGGCTGGAATGCAATCACGACCTGTTAGTTTTAGGGAGAGATGCAGGCATTAAATCCGCCCCCACCCTCACGGCCGCTTCCCAGGATGCAGTCTCTACCTCCCTAACTGGCCACGCTGCATACTTATCCGGAGAACATCAAGAATAAACACACTTCTTAGAGTTTATTCTGTGCTACTGTGGCGTTGATTTATTCTTCTTTTTGGACAAGAAAAGTTAAAAGGAGGGAAGCATATTAGGTCTGAATAAATAAGCATTAAAAAAAAGGAATTCTAGAGGAGCCAGAGCAACTGTAAATGAAAGGTCTAAAAAAGCCTCTTTTCTAGATTTAAATGCTAGACTCCAAATCTTTCAGCCTCTCTCGCGCGCTCTAGCTGGCTCCCAGGAGCCCCCTGCAGCTGTGTCTCCAAATGGAAAGCCAGTTGCCTCTCATTTATTTACAAGAACACAAAAGACAACAAGGGCTGGGGTTGGAGTTGGAGAGACAGTTGGAGGGGTCAGCCCTTGCTTTGAATCTAGTCCAGAGACAAATTTGCATTCGAATGAAAACACTACATTGTCAACCACTTCTGGGCAGGAGGTCTGGGATCATCCAGACTTTCCCGGAGGAGCAGGAAGGTTTTTGAGAGCAGGCTGGTGTGAAAACAGGATAGGACTGTACACACACACACACACACACACACACACACAGAAGTTGGGAAGGAAGGTTTTGAATTAAGGGTGGGAGTTGGCTAGGGAGGAGGAAGCCGGTGAGATGGAGGCAAGGGGAGAAAGAGCCTGAACAGATGCTGGCCATTAAAAGTTTCAATTATGCCTCTCCATCGGGTTTGAAATGGCAAACTGGCAAATAATAGACTGGGCACTTCCGTCTGCACACACGCAGCATTCCAAATTTTATTTGGATGTCAGGTTCATGGGAAGATCTGAGGGAGTTAACTGAGCAACATTAAAAACGTCTATTAACAGTGGAGTGACAGGGAGATAAACTGTTGAAAGACATTGTCTCTGTCTCTCTGCATATTTCTTTATAGATGGTGTATGTATTTTAATGATTTGCATATTATTTTTATCAATCCACTGACAAAGATTCTCTTCTTGACCATCTTCTCAACTAGGCCCTGATGTTTGGGCTTCTGCATTCATCTCTGCACTGTCCAGTGTTAGCCAAAATCCTACCAAGTCAGTTTAGCCAAAAGCCCCCAGTCTGGGCTTCTGGTCATTCTCCAGATCTGATGGAGGCCCTCATCCTCCACCACCCCACGGACATCTCATCTCCTTGGCTTGTCTTCAGCAAGAATCCTGTTGGGTGGTTGACCCAGAATCCCCCTTCCCCCTGCTGTAGGAACTTTCTGCCTACTGAGCCTACCTTGCTTCTCAGCTATAAACTCCCACTTATCCTTGTATTTAGAATCGAGCCCAGTTCTATACTGAGGTCTCTTTCCCCCTACTGCAATATTTGTTGTTGTTTTTCCTGAATAAAATACGTATTCACCACTTTACTGCTCAACTCTAGTTTTTCTTTAACACCACAGGGCAATTATTTTGAGTTTAACAGCAGAGGTAAAAAAAATAAAATGTCAGTGCCATGATTTTGTCCAGTGATGAGTCTCCAGCAACTAGAGCAAGACCTTTTCACAACAGAGATGCTATGGGTATTTGTGGAATGAAGGAAGGAATGGTTAATAAAACTAGTCCCAAGGTTAGGCCATGAGGGGTTTGTGTGTGGAGGCAGGTGGAGGTCTGCAGAATGCCATGCTCAGCCTAAACCACAGAGATAAATTCCAGCATCACCCAGAGTCATGGTTGGTGGTGGTGGGGTTCTGCTTAGATCTAATTTTGCTTTTGCCTACAACCCCCCCCAGTAGAAGTTCTGAACACAAAATATTTAGTCTGGGCTTCTAAAACCTTGCTGCATATTAGAATCCCCAGGAGACCTTTTTAAAAAAAGTCTCAGCACTCATGCTGTGTTCTAGTCATTTAACTCAGAATCTCTGTAAGTGGGACTCAAGTATCATGTTTTCAGGAAGCTCACCAGGTGGTCTGTCTCAACGTGCAACCACATATGAGAACAAGTTAGCCCACAGCAGCGGGTTTACAAGGTGGTCCTGTCCTTGATCTGATTCAACATCAGCATCAGTCCACCGTTACCGAATGGGAACTCTGGGCGAGGGACCCAGGGGGCTGTTTTAACAAGTCTTCAAGCCGATCGTGGTACCTCAAGTTTGTAAGTCACTGATCTAGAATGATTCTGATTTAGGGGTCTGGAGTGGCCTGAGGGTCTGCATTTCTAACAAGCACCCAGGGGAGGCAGATGCTGCTGGCCTGAGAACCACGGCTCAGCTGAGGACAGGACCCTCTTCCTTGGCTTTTCTTCTGATGTTCTGGTTGCTGAGCAACATTGAACTGTGTGGAAACCACCTGGCAAGTGACAGAAAACCCTATGACAGGAATTTCTATACACCCTTCCCACGGGAGCACACAGGAGAGAAAGAACCACGGAGGGTCAATGGGGAGACCCCTGTTTGCAACAGAACACTTTTTGTTATATCTTGGATATATAACATTAATAACACTATGTGACATTAATGATGCTATTAAAAGCAGCATAATTTTTAATAAAGTAAATACAGAGTATATCACTACAAATTATAACAACGTTATGTAGTACTCTAGAATTTAACTATTAGAATGACATGGATATTGGGAAAACCTTGAATACATTTTGCATGCATTTTATTTCTCTTTTAAACTTTTGGGACTTCTGGTCTCAGGAGTGCTAACTGCACTGAGTATTATTATCTCATAAAATTCCTTAAATGGCCCCCAAATCTGTGGAAGTTTTGAGAACATGCTAGCTCTATTTATTTTGACAGGCTATAGCAGCCAATTTGAAATTCTTTTAAATATGGTAGGATCTTGGTGAAGTTTACTGATCTTTTCACATGAAAAAATAAAAGCAAAAACAGTAAAATTCTCTATTCTCTTTAAGGTTTGGTATGTTCATGCTGGTGATGTTCTATATCTTCAGTGTCCAATATGGTAGCCACTAGACACATGGGCCAGTTGGGCACTTGAAATGTACACTGGATTTTAACACACATTTAATTTTAATTAATTTTAATTTAAATAGGCAGAAGTGGCTAATGGCTACCTTAGTGGAGTACACTGTTACAATAAATAAACAGGGTTGTTATATGCCAGGGCCTGTGGAACAATAAGTGCCTAAGAATGATTCTTTGGCTAAACAGAATAATCTGTTTTTTAGCACCAAACATAATCTTTTGGGAGCATGTTTCCACTCTTGTGGTTGCTTTGTTCCATTATGTAATTTCATTTGGCCAGTTAGGGATACGAAAACCTGTACCTCAAGCCTACTGCACTATTCATCGGATGGTTGATTACTAAGTCAGTCACTGGATTAACAGTAATACAAACACATTTCAACACACATAGAACTGCACCCATTTTACTGTCATGGAAGCTCAGTTCTAAAAGTATGTTAACACTACAAAACTATAAATCTAATTTTAAAGTTAGAATTCTAAAACCTCACTTTTTTTTTTTAAACTAATGAATACTACACCCTTCTTCCCTAAGGATATTTGGAAGTGTACATGAAATGAGAATTGAAAAAATTTTTTTATTGATGATAAGACCCTTATAAGAAAATTAAAGAAGAGTTTTAGAAATACTTGGAGCAGACTGGGCCCCACTACTATCCTGGATCACAGTGTGGGCTATTGACAGGAACAAGTCCTATTGGTATCTTCATTCTTAGTTCTTTGGATGAGGCTCAACCCAAATGGCTACTTTATTTGTTTCTTCGATCCCTCCAAAAGGAGGGACCCAGAATGTGAAATTAACATGACAGTGGAACATTGCAGGCAGATCCTCTGGTTAAATAGTTTCTGATGGGCAGACTTTGGTGCACATTTAATGTCATCTCTTTCTTGCTTCCAATTATGAGGAATTAATTTGGAGGAAAACAAATATTAATTCCAGTGCCTATGCACACTTTATGTACATTATACCTCAAGTAAAGAAAAAAAACAGAGATTTTGTTTTCTTTAAATGAGACATGAGCATACACATAATTCATCAAAGCTCTTACAAATTAAATATTTTATCTGCATTATAGTTTATATTTAAGGTTCAGATAGGTGAGATTTAGGATTTACTAGTTATGATTTTTATGTTATATGTTTGCATGTCTTTGCATGTATATGCTTAAGAGTACATTGAGGCCTCTTGTGTAATTATGGAATGCTTTTACACCTATTTTATGGAAGTGTTTAAGGGGAGGATGTATTTTCAAAGTGTAGTAGGAAAAATACTGAAACAGGAATTCAGGCAACATGTACACTATTTCCAATCTACTAACTTACAGTACTAAGTTCTGTGCATTAATTCACTCATGAACTCAGTAAACTGTTTCTAGAGTCCACCAGGTGCCATGAGCAAATGAGGCACTTGTCCTTGAAGGTCCCTCTGTAATCCCCTTACGTCGAGTATTTCATCTTGACATTACTGTGGAGATCTATCAGTGATGTATTTTTGTTTGCACAGAGCACTATCTGACCCACAGTCATGACATTGTTCTTTTTGGGAAGTCTGAGTCCCTGAGAACATGGCCTTCCCAGACCAGAACGTGGCTTCAACTTGGCTGGAACACAGAGCGCAGCTGCTCCCTGACCCTATGGCACCACGTCTTCTGGGAGTGGGTAGGGGTGGTGTGGGGTGATGGGGGAAAACATTCTCTCAATTGGAAACTGATT